AAAACAAAATGTTAAGTGCTTTGTCATTTAAACTCAATTTCTTTTCATCTTCAGCTGTATAGTGTTCTTCCTCTTTGGGAAGATCTGTTGACTCGTTCATGGGAACAAAGTTCCCTTGCTCAACTATTTTTCACAAGTTGTAGTTTATAGATCTAATGTGGAGTCTCATTCTAATTCTCCATTGTGTGTAGTTTGTACCACAAAACAGTGAGGGTCTAGTGGTGTAATGACCGTCACCAAACAATGGCGTAGATAAACTAGCCATGTAGATTGATTGACTCTTGAAACCATTAGGCTTTTCAAGACAAGAGCCCTGGGTCTGATACCAATTGTTAAACCCTAAGTATGGCTAATATTCATAGATAGGGATAAATAGGAATCAATAAAAATAATCGTGAAATAAAACTTATCAACAGAAATGAAGGCAAATGATGAGTTTATCAAAACAATGTTTAATGACTAAACTCAACAACTCAAGAATGATAAAGATATTACTATGAACAATATGCTTTGAAGAGAGCAATAAATGCTTTCAACTTTTAAACAACAAGTATGAATAATGAATCCAAGAACAAGTACAATAAATTAGGCTGCAAAAAAAAAAAAAACCGAAAACAGAACCGAACTGAAAAACCGAACAGAAACCGAATCGAAAAACCGGTTTTCAAATTAACCAGTTTGGTTTCAGTTTTTAAAAATAATTAAACTGAATTTTCGGTTCGGTTAACAGTTTAAGGATAATATTAAACCGGTTAACCGAAACCAGTTTTGAAAAAAATAAAAATATCACTTATTTTTTCCCTCACTTTTTCTTGGTATTGGGTACGCAGAACTATAGACTGCAGTCTGCTTTTCAGCGCATTTCCTTGGGTTTGCTTCTCCATGCAAATACCTTTTTTTTCGTCTTCTTCTCCTTTCACTATTTTTTCTTTCTTCTTCTCCTTTCACTGCTTCCTCTTTCTTTTTTCAGTTTTTCTTCACATTTTGTCTTCTTCTCTTCCTCTCCTTCAACAATTTCTCTTTCTTTTTCGTCTTCTTCTCTTCGTCTCCTCCTCTACTTTTCCTTTTCTTTTTCGTCTTCTTCTCCTTTCACTTTTCTGTTTTTTTTTTCTTTTTTGTCTTCTCCATTTCTTCTCTTTCACTGGCAAATCCAGTAACAAATATACTCAGTTCATACCAAATACTATAAATGCAAGGGAAGAGAAGGGAGAAAAGTTTAATCCCAAAGTTACAATAAAATTTAATTTTCACAATACAAGTTATCGAGATGCTTACGTCTTTGCAAGGAGAGGCAATAGTCGCCATTGATGACTTGGATAATTGAGCAACAGGATTTCAACACTGAAGATCTCTCCACTCGCCATGCCATCAAGAATCATCGTGTTATCATGATGCTCAATTTAGCAAATCCACCATGAAAATAATTCTGAGACGAAATGATCCCATGCTCAAAAATTTATTAATAAAACCGGTTTGCAAACTAAAAATCCGGATCGGTTTGCAAACCGGTTTATACCAAAATCTGGACCGGTTTTGGTTTGTAAGATGGTTTGAACCAAAAAACCGGTTCGGTTACAACAAGCATGTATCCGATTCGGTTAACCGGTCTTTTGCAGCCCTACAATAAATGATGTTCAACCAACAACAATGTAATCTATAATAAAGAGTTGTGAGAGAGAGAAATGCTCAGAATTTATAATGGTTCAGAGCTATATCCACAAGCCTCCTGCTTTTACTTCTTCAAGGCAACCTCCTTGAAGTTCCACTAGAATCAGATTTTGCCAATATAATAGTTTTCACAAGGATTTTCACCTCACACACATAGATTTGCAGGATTGCACCTACTTTTATAAGATTTCGCCAACAAGGAAAGATTCAAAGTTGTTTGTGACTAATTGCCTTTACAAAGTAGGCTTATACACACAATAAGAATAACTAATCTCTCAAAGGTTTACAAAATGAGTACAAGTGAGAGTATTTTGATTTGGATCTTGAGCTTTAGGGATTATATTAGAATGTTTTTCTTATCTCTTCTCTTCTAAATAGCCTAGGAACATTGAACTTTTATAGCCCAAAAAGAATTAACCGTTGCAGCATTTAATGCAGTTCTGATAAAGTCTGCAGAACCCAAAAGAACAATTGTTCCACAATCATGAATGGATGTTCTTGCCACAGCGATTATATTTTTCAGATCTAGGTTAACCAAAACAGTCATTACGGTCATTCCACCATGCAAAACGATCACATGCAGATGCTTTTCCAAATCTTCTTGATTTTCCAAAAGCCTGAACCACTTCTTGAAACGATGTCGTGCAAAACTCTTCAGATACGAACTGTCATTCCACCACAAGGAACAGTTGTTCCAATTTTGAACTTTGAGTTTGACTTTGACCTTTAAGATTAAGTCAAGAGCGCGAAGAATTCTGAATTTGAATTATCTTGACTTTTTTACTTTAACGCATGGTCGTGTAGATTGGTGGTGCGAGTGTAGTCTGGTCGTACGAGTGCCACTCAAATTGGTAGAATGACTAACAACCAAAAGGAACGATGTCGTGCGATATTGCATGGCAACTTTCTCTGAAGGAATTGTCATGCTTTGATCACGCACAGTTGTACTTGAGTAGAAATTTTCTTATGCACGATTGAACCACTTTTTAGTCCTGTTTTGGTTGGGTTATGACTTGAGCCATACCTTAGCATGTTATGGCTAGTGTTCAATCAACTTTTTGGATAGTTTTGGTACATCAAAACATATGAGAGGTCAATAGAAATCAATAATTTTTTTAACTACACCTCTATTAAGTTATAATCTCCTTATAATAATAAAATTACTTTGTCCCACTATTATAACTATAGAGAGGTTTTACTGTATATAGAAAGATCGACTTATTAAAAGATGTGAAACAAATATATATTTATATATAATATATGGTTATATATTATAAGAAAGTCTTTGAAACATATATTAATGCCATAAAAAATAGAAATTTTTGATAAAAATTGTGGTACTTTATCTTCTTATAAAAATAGTGTATGATGAAGAGAAAACCAAAAAAAAAAAAAAAAGGAGTTATCACGTAGCTTTTTAAGGATGTCGAATCCACAAGACAAAGAATTTCCAAAGGAAACTCAAATTTTTTTATTAGTACTGTGAATAACTTATTACATACCAACTGCTTTTGTAGTTTAAATATTCCTAATACTGCTAGAGGAAGGTAAATAAAATTCATAAGTAAACTAAAATCTCTAACTAGAAAAGTAAACAAATAAGAAATAATTAGGAAAATGATACTTAACTAAATCAAGTTTTCCCAAAGTATGAAATCTAATTAAAATAGGAAAATAATTATGACTCAAAAAAAAAAAAATCAGTGTATAAATTTGTTGTGTGTTATTTTTCCATTAAGCTCGGAGAAGTCAAAATCCCGCGAGGATATAGTTTGACCAAGAATTAGTTGGACTTAACACTTTTTTGACCCAACATAAGCTAGTCGCAACCAAATTTAGCAACTATTCGACAAATCACAGATAAGCTTAGATCCTAGATATTTCAGAAGAGATCAAATCAACAGCAGTGATGGCCTGATCTTAGCGCACAATCACGAGAATATTGGAATTGCAATTCAAATGTGATTGCAATCCTGACAATTTCTCTCTTTCCTTGTTCACAAACTTGTATATAAACACCCTCCAATGATAGGAGAGGGGTTAGCAAATTGTTCTTAGCATTCTATTATTATTCTTGTAAGTTCTCTAAAGCAATAAGAAAAACAGTGGACGTAAGCTTACGTTCCAATTTATCGAACCACTTTGAAAATTGATTGTGTTCTTTACATTTACGCATTTTTCATGTACAATTGTTGGTTATCTATAATTACGCACACATCGGTTCCGATTCCACCAAAGTGAATCGAATCACTCTAATTGGTGTAAATCTTGCATCAACAAAATTTTTAATAATTTTTTTTAAATATCTTTAATGTGTGGTTTTAAAAACAAGCTTAATATTATTCATCTCTTGTGAGGTGCCAAAGTCCAAGTGGCACAGTTGTTTTTGAAAACTATTGAATAACAGCCCTTACTGTTAGTGAAAATTTTCTAAACTTAATTGATAAAGCGCATGATGGTATTTACACAACCCTAAACCCTAAAGGCCTGAACAATAAATACTCTCACCTATCTTTTCCTCTCCTCTTTCTCTCTTTTCTCCCTATCTCTCTACTCCCTTTTTCTCCTTCTCCCATCATTCTCTCCCCTTGGCTATCATCTTCCTCAACCATGGCCATAGAAAGCTAATGACCGGTCAATTTATGAAACTTGGGATGAATTTTTTAGTTGGGTTTTTAGATTTTCTTTCTCAGTAGACGTGGTTGAGAGGTGTAGCATTGCAAATTATGGGTTTTCTTTTTTAAATTTCTTTTGTGTTTTAAAATCTGAATTTTTAATTGAAAGTCAATCATGTTGTAGTTTGTACCATTTTGGTGTTACAATAATTGGGGATTGCAATTAAATTTCTTGATATTGAGAAAGACGGATTTTTGGATATTGAGAGATAAATTTAGGGTTGTGAGAGATACGAAAGAGAGAGTTTTACTACTCCCTCTGTTTTATTTTAATTGTCCTTTTTAGAATTTTTTTTTTTGTTTCAAATTATTTGTCACTTTGTAAAATCGATGAGACATTAATTACTTTTTTACCAATTTTACCATTATTCTATGCTCAATAGTTGTGCACATGATCTAATAGTCAACCAATGTATGGTGGTGTTCAATATTCTTTTCCTTTCCAAAATTTATTAATGACAATAGTCCACATATACACTTTAATTCAGTTTCCAGAAAAAACTTATGTATATCTCCAACAATAAAAAAATTGACAAAGGTGAAGAGTCCATATATTTGGATTCTAAACCTTTAAAAAACCAATTGAGATTCTTCTCTCTTTCATCAGCTATTCTTCTTTGAGATTTACATGGTATCAGAGCCAAACGACTAACGTCAATGGCTAGAGTTCCTGGTAACAATCTGTCAAACAAGAGTACAGAGAAGATGCTTAACTGCTCAACTAGTGCTCACTCTTCGATTTTCAGTTCTAGTCTTCAAGTCATCACTCCAAAATTGACCAGAGATAATTACCGAGACAATTATCATTTTTGGAGGTCTCAAGTTCTCTCTATAGTAGGAGCTCACGATCTTGGAGAACACCTAACAGGTTTGATTCCATGTCCAGAACCTCTTATTGCTTGTGATGATGATTTGAAAGAGCTAAGCTCAAGTGAAATTAAGGAAACCCTAGGAAAAGAGAAGATTAATCTGGAGTATATAATCTAGAAAAAGACTGATAAGTTTCTTGTAAACTGGCTCCTAGCGTTAATTTCTGAATGCATGTTTAGTCAAGTGTCGAAATGCAAGTTTTCTACTAATATCTGGTTCACACTTGAAAACGAGTTCTTGGCTGATTCTAAAGCCAGAGCTTTGAATTTGAAAAACCTACTTCAAACCACACAAAAAGGCAATCTGACTGTGAGTGAATATGTGAAGAAAATGAAAGGAATTGCTGAGAGTTTATCGTCCAGTGGTCAGATTGTTTCAGATGAAGAAGTGTTACAGTATGTCTTAGATGGATTAGGTCCAGAGTTTGATGCGGTTGTCGTCAATCTGACTTCTAGGATTGAATCCAAGTTTGATTCAATTACTTTACAAGAGGCTCAATTCCTACTGCAGAAATATGAACTGAGACTTGAGAAATTTAATTCTCCTGACTTTCCAAATTATTCAGTCAATGTGGCATCACTCAATCCAAACTTAACTAAGTCTCAGCTTCCTTGTCACAACTCAACGTTAGGACATTTAAATTCTGTTGAAGGTTCTTCTAGAAGTACTGGATCTGGACTTTTTGGATCAGTCAACCATAATGTTCTGCCACAGAATGCTTTGTCTGTACCATCATAGAGTTATCCATTGACTATTGGAGGTCTGCCAATAAATCAGAATTCTCCTCATTTCTTATCTGAGGTTATAAGTCAGCTTTCAAATTTACCTGCCTATAGACCCTTAGGAAATGTTGGAAATGGCAGAGGCAGGGGTACAACAATGGGAGAGGCAAACCAATTTGCCAAGTTTGTGGTAAAATAGGACACACAGCCATTCAGTGCTATCATCGTTACAACACCAGCTAAAATGGCTCTTCATTCAACTACAATGGTTCTTCTCCACAGTTTAATACCAGTTATACTGGTGGTACCTCAGCTCACTTTAATTCACCACAGCAGTTTAATGGTTTTTCTCAAGATCTTGGTGCTGGTCCTGGCAGTGTTAACACTAATTCATTTGGTCAGATGTTTGGTCCTGGAAATAGTTCTTATGACCATCATACACAGCAACATGGAAGCCACAATCACCAGTCTCAACAGTATCAGTCTGATCAACAAAAGCAACTTTCTGACTCAACTCAACAGCCAGGCTTCAAGGTTCCCAATCCACAAATGCAACCCTCACAAATGCAACCTCCAAACCAAGCACAAATACAACCCTCACAAATGAAACCTCCAAACCAAGCCTTCTTTGCTGCCCACTCAGCTACATCCTTTCCAAACAAGAGCTCATTTCAGCCTACTATCATCACTTCCAACTCACCACCTGATCCAGCCTCGTATATGGACTCTGGTGCAACTGATAATGTTACATCAGATCCAAATTAGTTAACAGCCAGCCGTAACTATGATGGTAATGATCAACTACAAGTACGCAATTTTTAGTCTCTAAACATTTCTCATGTTGGCTTTGCTTTGCTTCCTAGTTCCTTGCAATCTAAATGTGTTTACTTAAAAAATGTGCTTTGTGTGCCTAGGATTACAAAAAATTTACTTAGTATCTCAAAACTTACCAAAGATAATAATGTTGTTGAATTTGATTGTGATTATTGCACTGTAAAAGACAAAGCTTCCAGACCAGTTCTGTTGCAGGGAGGACTTAAGGCTGGGCTGTATCAGTTGCAAATACCATCTAACCTGTCATCATATAGTTCTCCTTCCCTGCTGTCACCTACTATTACATTTAGTAGTAAGTCTATTTCAGTTCCTCAAACATATGTTACTGCTATTGAAAAAACATCCTTAGGACCTACTTTACATGAAGAAAATAAGGCTAGTTCGATTAATAACAGTTGTACAATGACTAAAAAATAGTCTTCTAAAAACAGTTGTAAGTTAGAGGTCATTGACTCAAATTCTTGTAAACCATCTCTGTCTTGTAATGCGTCATCTTTAAATAAAACTTTTTTGCAATTACCTTGCTTGTTATCTCAACAGTGTGATAAATTGAATGAAACCACCAATAATGCATCTTCTTTACATAACGCAACTCCATTTCATGATACATTTTCATTGCATAATTCATCATGTGCTTTTCAAGTTAGCAATAGTTCAGAAAATCAACTATCACTTTGGCACAATAGACTAGGACATCTGCATGCTGAATCATTACATAAGATTCTATCTTCTATGCAAAAAAAAAAAAATATATATATATATATATATATGTTGGTCATATGTCACAGTTACCCTTTTGTGATGCTTGTAAATTAGGTAAACTTGATAGGAATACCTTCTCGATTTCTCACTCTATAGCCACTCATCCGCTTGAAATTGTTCATAGTGATGTTTGGGGTCCATCTCCTGTCCTTTCCTTATAGGGATATGGATATTATGTCCATTTTATAGATAATTATAGTCAATTCACTTGGTTATTTCCCTTAAGAACAAAAGCTAAAGTTTATTCTGTGTTTGTCAAGTTTCATCACTTGGTCAAAAGGCAGTTTAATTGCAAGCTCAAATGCTTGCAATCAGACCAAGGTGGAGAATATAAGGGTCTCATTTCTTATCTCATCACTGTCGGCATTCAATTTAGGCATTCTTGTGCACATGTTCATCAACAAAATGGGCGAAGTGAGAGAAAACATAGACACATTGCTGAAACCAGTCTTACCTTGTTAGCCCATACATCCATGCCTTTGCATTATTGGTGGCTTGCATTTGATATAGCAATGTTCCTTATAAACAGAATGCCTACATCTATATTGAATTTTCTATCACCATATGAAGTCTTGTTTGCATCAAAACCATTATATTCTTCTCTTAAAACTTTGGATGTGCTTGCTTTCCTTACCTTAGAGATTTTAATAAACACAAACTGAGTTTTCATTCTTCCAAATGTGTGTTTGTTGGTTATAGTCTTATTCACAAAGGATATAAGTGTGTCAATTCTGAAGGTAAAATGTTTATCACTCCTAATGTCCACTTTAATGAGTCTGAATTTCCATTTGAGAAGGGTTTTGAGTCTCACTTTCCTGGTATGTCCTCTTCAAAAACATTCTTAGAACAAGTCAGCCATGTCAATCCTGATGATCCAGTGACTCATTTTCCTTTCACTGTAATGCCTACTGCAACTGATCACAGCTCCAGCAAATAATCCTCATTGCATCATGACTGTTCTGTAGCTGATCCTTGCAGTGATAGTTTCAACAAATCAATCATTCCAACCCATGATAATATCTCTTCAAAAACAGACAGGTCTCAAATCTTAACCACCTCTCAAACTGTTTTACACACTTCTCCATCTGCCCTTCATCAATCACCCACAAACTGTTCTTTTGCAATTGATCTCACCTGTTACAAACCAGCAAATATTTCCAATTTTTAGTCAACCAACCCAGGGACATCATCCTCTTGTCCACTTGTAGTTGATCTAACATCATCACAGCTTCAAACAGAACACATTAATCAGGATACTTCAATCCTTAATTTACAAAGCCACACTAATCAGCCACCCTCCAACAAAAATTCAACAATCTATTCTTACCAACATCACACAAAACCAGCCTACTCTTCCCAACATCAAACAGAACCAGCCCACTCTCACCAACATCAAACAGAACCAGCCTACTCTCACCAACATCAAATAGAACCAGCACCAACCTGCCTTCACAAGTCACAACTAAATCAGACTCAATCTTCCAACACTCATCCTATGCTCACTCGTTCAAAGACTGCTGAACAAACAACCACAACCTTCCTTTCTTCTAAATCATCAATCATACAACCAGAACCTAATTCCATACCTAAAGCTTTGGCTAGTGTTGAGTGGAAAAATGCTATGCAAGATGAGTTTGATGCACTCTTAAGAAACAATACTTGGACTCTTGTTCCTAAAACTTCTTATATGAATGTTGTTGGAAATAAGTGGGTAAGTTTCATGCTGATGGTACTTTATAGAAATATAAAGCTAGGTTGGTAGCAAAAGGATTTCAGCAAACTCCTGGGTTAGATTATTTTGAAACCTTTAGTCCAGTCATTAAACCATGCACTATTCGCATTATTTTTACGCTTGCTATTTCTTATGGCTGGGACATACAGCAGATTGATGTAAACAATGCCTTTTTGAATGGAACATTGAGTGAAATTGTTTACATGCAACAACCTGCTGGGTTTGAGAGTTTAACCTATCCTTTACATGTTTGTAAGCTTAATAAAGCATTGTATGGCCTGAAACAAGCTCCAAGGGCCTGGTTTGACAGATTGAAGCAAGCATTACTGGAATAAGGTTTCCAAAATTCAGTTTCTGACTCCAGTTTGTTCATTCTCAAAGAGCCAGGCTAAGTTCTTTATGTGCTCATCTATGTTGATGAAATTTTGATAACTGGATCTAGCAACTCTTCCATTAGCAAGTTGGTTCTTGATTTAAATGATCGATTTGCACTAAAAACCTTGGGATCAGTCACATATTTCTTGGGGTTGGAAGCTACAAGAACAGATGAAGGAATTCACTTAAGGCAGTCCAAATATGTCACTGATTTGCTTATCAAGACAAAAATGCAAGATGCTCATTCTTGTCCTACTCCCATGGCTGTTGGGACAAAACTTTTTGTTGGTGATAGTTAATTATTTAAAGAGCCCAGTCTCTATCTTAGCACCATTGGAGCATTACAGTACTTAGCGTTAACAAGGCCTGACATTAGCTTTACAATCAATAAGCTAAGCCAATTCCTTCAATCTCCAACAAAATTTTAGTGGCAAGCTTGTAAACGTGTGTTGAGATACATTAAAGGCACTTCTTTCCATGGTCTTCTTTTCAAACCAGTTGCCTCATTGTGTGTTGAATGTTATGCTGATGCGGATTGGGGTAGTAATTTGGATGATAGAAGATCCACAAGTGGGTATTGCGTGTATCTTGGTCCCAATTTAGTGCAATGGAGTTCTCGTAAGCAAAAGGTGGTTGCACTATCATCCATCGAAGCTGAATATAGGGCTTTAGCTCAAACAGCAACTGAATTAGCATGGCTGAATAGCTTATTTTCTGAATTAGATTTGAAGTTGAACTCCATTCCCATAATTTGGTGCGATAACATAAGTGCAGGAGCTTTGGCAGCCAATCCTGTTTTTCATGCTAGGACAAAGCATATCGAGATAGATACCCACTATATAAGGGATCAAGTATTAGCCAAAAAGGTTCTAGTGCAATATTTTCCGTCCAAGTTACAAATTGCTGATGTTTTGACAAAGGCTCTTTCTATCTCACAGTTTCAGTAATTAAAACAAAAGCTTACAGTGGTTTCAGTACACTTGGCAACTGAGTCATGAAGTGGACTGTTTTTTTTTTTTTTTTTTTTTTTTTGGCTAAAAACTTGTCTACTGATCTGACTGCTATTATGGTTAGTTTGTTGAGTTGCTGATGTTGTGTAGTTGTTGTAGCTTGAAGCTCAGTGTAGGAATTAAAATGGCATGGTTATATAAATTGCTCTGTTCAGATGGTGTGATACAGATTTGGTTGATGTGGTTGATGCTGACTGATTTTTTCTGTTGAATGTTGCTAAAGTAATGCTTTTGTTAAGTTAATGATGGTTGATATTTTTTTGGGGGACCTGTCTACTGATCTGACTGCTATTATGGTTGATTTGTTGAGTTGCTGATATTGTGTAGTTGTTGTAGCTTGAAGCTCAGTGCAGGAATTAAAATGGCATGGTTATATAAATTGCTCAGTTCAGATGTTGTGATACATATTTGGTTGATGTGGTTGATGCTGACTGATTTTGCTGTTGAATGTTGCTGAAGTAATGCTTTTGTTAAGTTGATGATGGTTGATATTTTTTTTTTTGGTTGATGTGGTTGATGTTGGTTGATTTTACTGTTAATGTTGATGAAGTAATGCTGGTTGATTTTGCAGGTTAACTTTGCTGGTTGATACTGGTTGATTGTTACCGGAGTGCTACTGGTTGATGATGCTGTTGATGCTAGGATGAGAACATGCTGAACTGCATAATTTGAGTGCAGGAACCTTGATCTGAAGCAGTCTGTTGAACATGTTTACTGAAATGAGAATAGAGTAGTGTAGAATCTGCATAAAGAAAAGTCTGTTCATGGTTGGTTATTCCTGTTTTTAATACAGAGTAGTTTGTCCACAGTTATTAAACTGAGCAGGAACTCAGTTGGTATAACTGCATAAGTTGAAGTGCAGGAATTTTGTGACTGAACTGCATAAGTTGAAATGCAGGAATTTTTGCTTTGAACTGCATAAGTTGAAGTGCAGGATTTTTGTGACTAAACTGCATAAGTTGAAATGCAGGAATTTTTGTTGTTAAACTGCAGAAGTTGAAGTGCTGGATTTTTGTGACTAAACTGCATAAGTTGAAGTGCAGGATTTTTGT